CAGTTTGGTGGTTTTCACGGGTCCAGCTCTTCCCGTTTACAGTCAACCTTCGAAGGATAAAAACCTCCGACACCACAGAAGTCCTGCTAATGCCAGTGGTCTTCACACAAAGTCCACGAACCCTTTTAGAAGACAGGAATAACTGTCAACATCCTCCATTTGGCAGACACTTTCCCTTCACTCCACATTTACTGACCGGAAGGTCCGTGGTCCGAACCCGACCTCTGCTTCGCAACTTCCCCTGTCTAGGCTTAGGCAACCTGGCAGCATCTCAGCCCTCATGCTTCCTTCGGGCAGCATGGCGGTTAGGCACCGGGTGTTACAGCTGAACGATCTTTTCGATAATGCAGCAAAGAGATTTGTTAGATAGGTCACCAGGTATTCTCCGCCTTCTTTGAAGAGAGCCGGATACAGGCCATCCGGTCCTGATGCCTTCTCATGTTTCAGTATGGATATTTCATACCTTATTTCTTCTTCTGGCGGCCGATTAAGGTTTACATTGCATTCGCCTGTACGTACTAACTCCAGAGACTGTTGAGGGAGGCCGGCTAAACTATTCTTCGAAGTGTTCGGTTCATCCTTCCAGTCGAATTTTCTGCGATTGAATTGAGCCAACTTTCCCATTTATCGTCACACTGACAATTGCCTACCTAGAGCCGGTCGAACGTATCAGTTGATATACGGCACGGCTGTTTACGGTAGAAAAAGCTTCTACCTCACGCGCTTAGGATACCCACCAAAGCTCCCGATCTTTCCTTAGGCCCACCACTATTTGGTTTGAGAGATTGATATGCGTCGTCGTACTCGTTAGCATGGACTGCCTGGTACCAGCGACCTCAACTATATCCTGTGGTCATTTGATTGTATGAAAGAAGCCAGGCGGGCAGCATTGAACACCACCAGCATAGCTCCTCGATATGCTTCATCCACGTGCTCGCTACCAGTACAGTATTGGTTTACTGTAGAGTTGCTGAGCTGGCTCGAATCGATACTGCTGAACGATGATGGTTCTTCGAGGAAGTTTGGTTGGCATGCTTCTTGTTGACTCGCGAGGCTCTGAAGGGAAACATGTTCCCACGCATGCTCGATCCACCATGGCGCGATCGGAATCAAATTGTCTGCCCAAGAAGAAACGGCAGTATTAAATTGTGGCTCTCCGCCGATGACTTATGGCCACGTGATCCAACTGGATCCATGGACAATTCGCAGTTAGTGGCCGCCAGGATATGCGACGCGCACGTGCGCTGAAAGTTCGTAATGGCCAGAAAGAGTTGACCATCAGCACACAGCTGCAGGACTCGCTTTCCGTTGTCCGTCCGATAAGCGTCGACTCCGAATCAACCACGCAGAAGTGATTCTAGGAAGCTCAGATAACCGACGTTGGCATTCATATGGCCTGCAAAGGTCATGATGTCAGTGCTTTCTGCTTGACAAACGAGTGCGGAAAACTATCTACAGAAAGTATCCTTCTAGGCGTCAGAACTGCAGTCCGTAGGGGCATATGCACACAATACAAACAG